CATCGGGGTTGGGTTTTCGTCGCTTGGCAACGACGTTGTAAAACAAGCCAATTCACTTCGTGAACTCGGCAACCAGGTTACCGTTTTTTTTACCTCTGCTTTTTTCGGCGGTAAATATAATAATGGTCGAGTAGATCATGTTGTGCGAGGTGGAGAACCCTCACTCCGCGCAAGGGGGATGATCGCACCACCTTGTGTTGCCAATGCACTTCGTGAACTCGGCAACCAGGTTACCGTGTTTTTTTTCACCTCCGGTTTTTTTTTGGCGGTAACCATAATGGTGGTCGAGTAGATCATGTTGTGCGGGGTGGAGAACCCTCACTCCGCGCAAGGGGGATGATCGAACCACGTTGTGTTAATATGGTCAAGCACCCTCGAGGCAGTTACACAGTGCTTACAACTGTCTCTGGAACTGAAGCACCAGCAAATAAANGGGCCCCGCGCGGGCATGGAAGGGCATGTCGTACAGGTGTCAGCATGGGGGTCCCGTGTGGTCAGGGTTAGGGTTGGGTCTTTTGCGGTAATGGTCGCCAGCCACTTGAGGCATCGCTTTAGGATACTTCGTGCTTTTGTGTTTTGTCACTTCTTCAAACCCCCCGGAGAGTGTGAAATACGGTCATTTTCGGCCTGGCTTTTTTTTTTCTGCCGTCGGCCCATGCAAGGGTAATGTGCTATCTAAAGAAAAGAAAATCGATTTTAAAAAACGCTCAAGATTTCGAAAATATCGCGTACGACACCGGAACATCGTTGAGAGGCCGTACCAACATAACGATACAAACTTTTGGGACAGAGGAAGTATCCGAACTGCCGTACCATTTGCCTTACTAGTTTGGGTCTCGAACCGTTTGCGGTGGCATTCGTGTAAGCACGAGGGACGGCAAGAAGGTGATAATTTGAAGGTGGTATATCGTGCTGAACACGTCTGCTGAACGGCGGGCCAGGCACTCGTGAAAAAATAGCAGCAGGTACGCACAACATGGACCGGGCGTGCTTCGGACGGAGGGGAGAACGCGTCTCTGTCCCAGGTTTGCAGGCAGTCTTGTTTGTGCTGTCCGCCATCGATGTTAAGATAGACATTTGTGTTCACAAAACGACAAAAAAACAAGCAAGGAACGACCATCGTGGGTATTTACCATTTGTTTAGACTATAGCGAGAAACCCGTCGCAAAATACCTTAAGTGTACCCCCGTCCTACTCCTATACACTGCCTGCCTACCCATGGGTTCCCTGCTACTACTGCTGCTCATTCCCTCGGCTACCTTGACCCTGCGGACAAGAGTGAGAGAACTATTAGGACACACAAGCACTTGCATGCCCAAAAAAAAAATACACGCCTCCTCACCAACACATCACGAACGAACAGGAGCACGACGCCGTTGGCGGCGAAGTAGGTGCTTGTGTTTTCGTCCTATTAGGTGGAGAGAGAATACACACCGAACTGAGCACCTATTTGAGGAAGGTCACAACGACAGCAACTACATGCTGAAACGTCGTGACAGCAGTCAAGAAAACATGGAATCAATCCCTTCGCTCGAATCGCGGGGGTCAAGGAGAGAAAAAAGAAGCGATGACACGCGCGCCCCCAGCGACAGACCGATCGAGCGCCTGGTACATACAATAAATGCCAATTTTTTCCGCCGGTCAACAACAGCCTAACGTGTGCGTTGTTGGGGAGATCCATTCTCACTCTGGCTGCCAAACGTACAGCATGTTCTACTGCAAGCGCGACGAGCAATCCGCTGCCAAGCCCTTTGCGACAATTCCCCAGCAGCCGATTTCTGCCTTGTAGTACGATCGACACACCTAATGCCCACCCACTGTCATCACAGGCTTGACGCAAAACCAAGGACAGACCATATTTTTTCTGATCCCCGTGGTGGTTTTCTTGCACGTCCCAAACGTGTAGCGGCGACAAGCGCAGCAAGTAATTTACACGAAACAAGAACACGTTATTAATGTTACCAACAACGATAGAGAGCTGCCAGGGCCCTATGACGTTTGTGTCCTCTCCGCGCACATCAGAACCTAAAACGAAAGAAAAACAAAAAAAAAGCGGCGGCTTTCCATCGCTCTCCGTTGCACCGCCCACGCTTCCCCGCTGCTTCCGATCTTCTAAACCCAACGAAAAGCATCGGAGAGTCTGCTACATTTTAAACTTTGTTTTGTTCACAATTCAAACAACATTTCAGTGCTCCCCCCCCCCCCCCCCCCCCCCCCCCCCCCCCCCCCCCCCCCCCCCCC